AAGTGGGTCTCATTAGGGTCTAAGCGTGACCCGGTATTGGCTGATTTTTTTAAGCATGACACGTGATGGTCGAATAATTAAGCGTAAAAACAGGAAATGAAGTCCGGCAGGACACAGGAAATTACATGCGCTATTATGGCAATGAGAAGAGGGATACGGGATTCTCACTAAACAATAAGTGGGATCCAGGATCAGAACCCCCCCCCCAAAAAAAAATTAGACCCCCTATTCTAAGGGCAATAATAAAAAAAATCATAGGGGCACAACTGTGTAATAATGAATATGAATATCTCTTACTATCAACATGCTCACACCACTCATTAGTTAAAGACTTATAAGTTATACTGAAAACTTTTAAGTTTATAAATCCCAGGTTGGATCAAATCCTGATATTTTGGCCTTAATGTTTAAAACAAAGGTATGTTTGTTATTTGGTCGTAAACATGCAATTTTTGTTTAAGTGTTTACCCTTTTCCGCATCTTAAAGACTTCTTGCCCGTCAATTAACAGCAGTATAAATATAACGTGAAATCGAAACAGAAAGTACACTTCGGAAACTCTTTTTTTCGTAGAATAAATCCGAGTTACATTGAGAACCAATCGTATGATAGATAACAAAAATGAAAAATAAATAAGCCAATCAGAGCGTGGTCCATATCGTGGTTTTTAGATCATAAGAACCACAACTATTATACCTCGTATTTAATAAAGCGCACACTTGATCAAGCGTCTCCGTGAAGGGTAATAGAGTATTTGCCATAGGATAGAGTCGTATTTAATAAAGCGCACACTTGATCAAGCGTCTCCGTGAAGGGTAATAGAGTATTTGCCATATGATAGAGTCGTATTTAATAAAGCGCACACTTGATCAAGCGTCTCCATGAAGGGTAATAGAGTAAATTACACCCTCGTATTAGCCAATCAAAATATGGCATTTTGACGTGAAGTATAATAAAATTAAATGTTTAGAAAAACCTCATTTAATTCCATTCCCATTGTTAATTCTAAACGTAGAATGAGAGGAAAATATTTATTTGTTTGCATGTATATGTTCACGAATACGTAGTAATCTAAAGAAAAGGGAAAACGTAAGCATTTCATAATTGTGACTTTCAAATTATGTCTATTTTTGTTATTGTAATAAATAAACCATTTTCGGCCACTTGCTCTCTTCTGTTTCCGTATGTTTTTTCTTTATTATTTTGTGATATTTATTTATTAAAGATATGTTTATTTAGACAAATTACGAATTTTGAATGAATACTACAAAAAGAGAGATATCGAAAAAAGAAAGCACTATCAAGCCCATTCAAATGCTTAATCAAATGATCACTTTAAAATTACTGCCAATACTACTTCAAGTGATCTGAAATATTATATTGTACATGTCAATAAATGTCTGAAGGTATATAAATTGTCACTTTGAATAATTGGAAAATAATTAATTTTAAACATTAAGGATGAGTGTTGGTCTATTTTTCAAGATTTTAAATATGCATGAGTCAACTTCCACATACAGTTGAGATCGTTTTGTGGTAATAAGCATTGTGTCTAAGCTTCATAACATTTGGTTGAGGCAAACTGAAGTTAGAGAACGGAAACGAAAATTTCATAAATTTTTCCGTTTTTGTCAATTTCACTATTTCAGATTTTTAACCGTAACTTCAGATTTTCGAACATAAACCACTCTGGAGATTTTCTTAAACGATACGCCATTGTCTCCCCTACAACACCTATATAGTCGTTGCCCGTCACAATCTCTTCAAATTAGTCCAAAATTAACTTGAATTGCCCTAACCCCCTAATCTCATTTTGTCAATTTCAATAATCACAATAAAAGTTTCAGTTTTTCAACCGTAACTTCAGATTTTCGAACATAAACCACTCTGGAGATTTTCCTAAACGATGCGCCAATGTCTCTTCGACAACACCTATATAGTCGTTGCCCGTCACAATCTCTTGAAATTGGTCCAAAATTAACTTAAATTGGCCTAACCCCCAATCTCATTTAGTCAATTTCAAAATTTCAGTTTTTTAACCGGAACTTCAGATTTTCGAACATAAACCACTCTGGAGATTTTCTTAAACGATGCGCCATTGTCTCCTCTACAACACCTATATAGTCGTTGCCCGTCACAATTTCTTTAAAATGGTCCAAATTTTTCTTTTAGTGCCCTACCCCCCTAATCTCATTTTGTCAATTTCACAATAAAATTTTCAGTTTTTTAACCGTAACTTCAGATTTTCGAACATAAACCACTCAGGAGATTTTCTTAAACGATGCGCCAATGTCTCCTCTACAACACCTATATAGTCGTTGCCCGTCACAATCTCTTTAAAATGGTCCAAATTTTTCTTTTAGTGCCCTACCCCCCTAATCTCATTTTGTCAATTTCACAATAAAATTTTCAGTTTTTTAACCGTAACTTCAGATTTTCGAACATAAACTACTCTGGAGATTTTCTTAAACGATGCGCCAATGTCTCCTCTTCAACACCTATATAGTCGTTGCCCGTCACAATCTCTTTAAAATGGTCCAAATTTTTCTTTTAGTGCCCTACCCCCTTAATCTCATTCTGTCAATTTCACAATAAAATTTTCAGTTTTTTAACCGTAACTTCAGATTTTCGAACATAAACTACTCTGGAGATTTTCTTAAACGATGCGCCAATGTCTCTTTTTCAACACCTATATAGTCGTTGCCCGTCACAATCTCTTTAAAATGGTCCAAATTTTTCTTTTAGTGCCCTACCCCCTTAATCTCATTCTGTCAATTTCACAATAAAATTTTCAGTTTTTTAACCGTAACTTCAGATTTTCGAACATAAACCACTCAGGAGATTTTCTTAAACGATGCGCCAATGTCTCCTCTACAACACCTATATAGTCGTTGCCCGTCACAATCTCTTTAAAATGGTCCAAATTTTTCTTTTAGTGCCCTACCCCCCTAATCTCATTTTGTCAATTTCACAATAAAATTTTCAGTTTTTTAACCGTAACTTCAGATTTTCGAACATAAACTACTCTGGAGATTTTCTTAAACGATGCGCCAATGTCTCCTCTTCAACACCTATATAGTCGTTGCCCGTCACAATCTCTTTAAAATGGTCCAAATTTTTCTTTTAGTGCCCTACCACCCTAATCTCAATTTGTCAATTTCACAATAAAATTTTCAGTTTTTTAACCGTAACTTCAGATTTTCGAACGTAAACCACTCTGGAGATTTTCTTAAACGATGCGCCAATGTCTCCTCTTCAACACCTATATAGTCGTTGCCCGTCACAATCTCTTTAAAATGGTCCAAATTTTTCTTTTAGTGCCCTACCCCCTTAATCTCATTCTGTCAATTTCACAATAACATTTTCAGTTTTTTAACCGTAACTTCAGATTTTCGAACATAAACTACTCTGGAGATTTTCTTAAACGATGCGCCAATGTCTCCTCTTCAACACCTATATAGTCGTTGCCCGTCACAATCTCTTTAAAATGGTCCAAATTTTTCTTTTAGTGCCCTACCCCCTTAATCTCATTCTGTCAATTTCACAAAAAAATTTTCAGTTTTTTAACCGTAACTTCAGATTTTCGAACATAAACCACTCAGGAGATTTTCTTAAACGATGCGCCAATGTCTCCTCTACAACACCTATATAGTCGTTGCCCGTCACAATCTCTTTAAAATGGTCCAAATTTTTCTTTTAGTGCCCTACCCCCCTAATCTCATTTTGTCAATTTCACAATAAAATTTTCAGTTTTTTAACCGTAACTTCAGATTTTCGAACATAAACTACTCTGGAGATTTTCTTAAACGATGCGCCAATGTCTCCTCTTCAACACCTATATAGTCGTTGCCCGTCACAATCTCTTTAAAATGGTCCAAATTTTTTTTTTGTGCCCTACCCCCTTAATCTCATTCTGTCAATTTCATAATAAAATTTTCAGTTTTTTAACCGTAACTTCAGATTTTCGAACATAAACTACTCTGGAGATTTTCTTAAACGATGCGCCAATGTCTCTTTTTCAACACCTATATAGTCGTTGCCCGTCACAATCTCTTTAAAATGGTCCAAATTTTTCTTTTAGTGCCCTACCCCCTTAATCTCATTCTGTCAATTTCACATTAAAATTTTCAGTTTTTTAACCGTAACTTCAGATTTTCGAACATAAACCACTCAGGAGATTTTCTTAAACGATGCGCCAATGTCTCTTCTACAACACCTATATAGTTGTTGCCCGTCACAATCTCTTTAAAATGGTGCAATTTTTTCTTTTAGTGCCCTACCCCCCTAATCTCATTTTGTCAATTTCACAATAAAATTTTCAGTTTTTTAACCGTAACTTCAGATTTTCGAACATAAACTACTCTGGAAATTTTCTTAAACGATGCGCCAATGTCTCCTCTTCAACACCTATATAGTCGTTGCCCGTCACAATCTCTTTAAAATGGTCCAAATTTTTCTTTTAGTGCCCTACCACCCTAATCTCAATTTGTCAATTTCACAATAAAATTTTCAGTTTTTTAACCGTAACTTCAGATTTTCGAACGTAAACCACTCTGGAGATTTTCTTAAACGATGCGCCAATGTCTCCTCTTTAACACCTATATAGTCGTTGCCCGTCACAATCTCTTTAAAATGGTCCAAAATTTTTCTTTTAGTGCCCTACCCCCTTAATCTCATTCTGTCAATTTCACAATAAAATTTTCAGTTTTTTAACCGTAACTTCAGATTTTCGAACATAAACCACTCAGGAGATTTTCTTAAACGATGCGCCAATGTCTCCTCTACAACACCTATATAGTCGTTGTCCGTCATAATCTCTTTAAAATGGTCCAATTTTTTCTTTTAGTGCCCTACCCCTTTAATCTCATTTTGTCAATTTCACAATAACATTTTCAGTTTTTTAACCGTAACTTCAGATTTTCGAACATAAACCACTCTGAAGATTTTCTTAAACGATGCGCCATTGTTTCTTCTACAACACCTAAATAGTCGTTGCTCGTCACAATCTCTTGAAATAGGTCCAAAATTAACTTGAATTGCCCTACCCCCCTAATCTCATTTTGTCAATTACACAATAAAATTTTCAGTTTTTTAACCGTAACTTCAGATTTTCGAACATAAACCACTCTGGAGATTTTCGTAAACGATGCGCCAATGTCTCTTCTACAACACCTATATAGTCGTTGCCCGTCACAATCTCTTTAAAATGGTCCAAATTTTTCTTTTAGTGCCCTACCCCCCTAATCTCATTTTGTCAATTTCACAATAAAATTTTCAGTTTTTTAACCGTAACTTCAGATTTTCGAACATAAACTACTCTGGAGATTTTCTTAAACAATGCGCCAATGTCTCCTTTACAAAACCTGTATAGTCGTTGCCCGTCACAATCTCTTAAATTGGTCCAAAATTAACTTAAATTGGCCTGCCCCCTAATCTCATTTTGTGAATTTCACAATTTCAGTTTTTTACCGTAACTTCAGATTTTCGAACATAAACTACTCTGGAGATTTTCTTAAACGATGCGCCAATGTCTCCTCTTCAACACCTATATAGTCGTTGCCCGTCACAATCTCTTGAAATAGGTCCAAAATTAACTTGAATTGCCCTACCCCCCTAATCTCATTTTGTCAATTTCACAATAAAATTTTCAGTTTTTTAACCGTAACTTCAGATTTTCGAACATAAACCACTCAGGAGATTTTCTTAAACGATGCGCCAATGTCTCCTCTACAACACCTATATAGTCGTTGCCCGTCACAATCTCTTTAAAATGGTCCAAATTTTTCTTTTAGTGCCCTACCCCCCTAATCTCATTTTGTCAATTTCACAATAAAATTTTCAGTTTTTTAACCGTAACTTCAGATTTTCGAACATAAACTACTCTGGAGATTTTCTTAAACAATGCGCCAATGTCTCCTCTTCAACACCTATATAGTCGTTGCCCGTCACAATCTCTTTAAAATGGTCCAAATTTTTCTTTTAGTGCCCTATCCCCTTAATCTCATTCTGTCAATTTCACAATAAAATTTTCAGTTTTTTAACCGTAACTTCAGATTTTCGAACATAAACTACTCTGGAGATTTTCTTAAACGATGCGCCAATGTCTCTTTTTCAACACCTATATAGTCGTTGCCCGTCACAATCTCTTTAAAATGGTCTAAATTTTTCTTTTAGTGCCCTACCCCCTTAATCTCATTCTGTCAATTTCACAATAAAATTTTCAGTTTTTTAACCGTAACTTCAGATTTTCGAACATAAACCACTCAGGAGATTTTCTTAAACGATGCGCCAATGTCTCCTCTACAACACCTATATAGTCGTTGCCCGTCACAATCTCTTTAAAATGGTGCAAATTTTTCTTTTAGTGCCCTACCCCCCTAATCTCATTTTGTCAATTTCACAATAAAATTTTCAGTTTTTTAACCGTAACTTCAGATTTTCGAACATAAACTACTCTGGAGATTTTCTTAAACGATGCGCCAATGTCTCCTCTTCAACACCTATATAGTCGTTGCCCGTCACAATCTCTTTAAAATGGTCCAAATTTTTCTTTTAGTGCCCTACCACCCTAATCTCAATTTGTCAATTTCACAATAAAATTTTCAGTTTTTTAACCGTAACTTCAGATTTTCGAACGTAAACCACTCTGGAGATTTTCTTAAACGATGCGCCAATGTCTCCTCTTCAACACCTATATAGTCGTTGCCCGTCACAATCTCTTTAAAATGGTCCAAAATTTTTCTTTTAGTGCCCTACCCCCTTAATCTCATTCTGTCAATTTCACAATAAAATTTTCAGTTTTTTAACCGTAACTTCAGATTTTCGAACATAAACCACTCAGGAGATTTTCTTAAACGATGCGCCAATGTCTCCTCTACAACACCTATATAGTCGTTGTCCGTCATAATCTCTTTAAAATGGTCCAATTTTTTCTTTTAGTGCCCTACCCCTTTAATCTCATTTTGTCAATTTCACAATAACATTTTCAGTTTTTTAACCGTAACTTCAGATTTTCGAACATAAACCACTCTGAAGATTTTCTTAAACGATGCGCCATTGTTTCTTCTACAACACCTAAATAGTCGTTGCTCGTCACAATCTCTTGAAATAGGTCCAAAATTAACTTGAATTGCCCTACCCCCCTAATCTCATTTTGTCAATTACACAATAAAATTTTCAGTTTTTTAACCGTAACTTCAGATTTTCGAACATAAACCACTCTGGAGATTTTCGTAAACGATGCGCCAATGTCTCTTCTACAACACCTATATAGTCGTTGCCCGTCACAATCTCTTTAAAATGGTCTAAATTTTTCTTTTAGTGCCCTACCCCCCTAATCTCATTTTGTCAATTTCACAATAAAATTTTCAGTTTTTTAACCGTAACTTCAGATTTTCGAACATAAACTACTCTGGAGATTTTCTTAAACGATGCGCCAATGTCTCCTTTACAAAACCTGTATAGTCGTTGCCCGTCACAATCTCTTAAATTGGTCCAAAATTAACTTAAATTGGCCTGCCCCCTAATCTCATTTTGTGAATTTCACAATTTCAGTTTTTTTACCGTAACTTCAGATTTTCGAACATGAACTACTCTGGAGATTTTCTTAAACGATGCGCCAATGTCTCCTCTTCAACACCTATATAGTCGTTGCCCGTCACAATCTCTTGAAATAGGTCCAAAATTAACTTGAATTGCCCTACCCCCCTAATCTCATTTTGTCAATTTCACAATAAAATTTTCAGTTTTTTAACCGTAACTTCAGATTTTCGAACATAAACCACTCTGGATAATTTCTTAAACAATGCGCCATTGTCTCCTCTACAACACCTATATAGTCGTTGCCCGTCACAATCTCTTGAAATTGGTCCAAAATTAATTTAAATTGGCCTACCCCTCTTATCTCATTTTGTCAATTTGACAATTTCAGTTTTTTAACCGTAACTTCAGATTTTCGAACATAAACCACTCTTGGACATTTTCTTAAACGATGCGCCATTGTCTCCTCTACAACACCTATATAGTCGTTGCCCGTCACAATCTCTTAAAATTTGTCCAAAATTAACTTAAATTGGCCTACCCCCCTTATCTCATTTTGTCAATTTCACAATTTCAGTTTTTTAACCGTAACTTCAGATTTTCGAACATAAACTACTCTGGAGATTTTCTTAAACGATGCGCCAATGTCTCCTTTACAAAACCTGTATAGTCGTTGCCCGTCACAATCTCTTAAATTGGTCCAAAATTAACTTAAATTGGCCTGCCCCCTAATCTCATTTTGTCAATTTTACAATTTCAGTTTTTTAAACCGTAACTTCAGATTTTCGAACATAAACTACTCTGGAGATTTTCTTAAACGATGCGCCAATGTCTCTTCTTCAACACCTATATAGTCGTTGCCCGTCACAATCTCTTTAAAATGGTCCAAATTTTTCTTTTAGTGCCCTCCCCCCCTCATCTCATTTTGTCAATTTCACAATAAAATTTTCAGTTTTTTAACCGTAGCTTCAGATTTTCGAACGTAAACCACTCTGGAGATTTTCTTAAACGATGCGCCAATGTCTCCTCTTGAACACCTATATAGTCGTTGCCCGTCACAATCTCTTTAAAATGGTCCAAATTTTTCTTTTAGTGCCCTACCCCCTTAATCTCATTCTGTCAATTTCACATTAAAATTTTCAGTTTTTTAACCGTAACTTCAGATTTTCGAACATAAACCACTCAGGAGATTTTCATAAACGATGCGCCAATGTCTCCTCTACAACACCTATATAGTCGTTGCCCGTCATAATCTCTTTAAAATGGTCCAATTTTTTCTTTTAGTGCCCTACCGTTTTAATCTCATTTTGTCAATTTCACAATAACATTTTCAGTTTTTTAACCGTAACTTCAGATTTTCGAACATAAACCACTCAGGAGATTTTCTTAAACGATGCGCCAATGTCTCCTCTACAACACCTATATAGTCGTTGCCCGTCATAATCTCTTTAAAATGGTCCAATTTTTTCTTTTAGTGCCCTACCGTTTTAATCTCATTTTGTCAATTTCACAATAACATTTTCAGCTTTTTAACCGTAACTTCAGATTTTCGAACATAAACCACTCTGGAGATTTTCTTAAACGATGTGCCATTGTTTCTTCTACAACACCTATATAGTCGTTGCCCGTCACAATCTCTTGAAATATGTCCAAAATTAACTTGAATTGCCCTACCCCCCTAATCTCACTTGTCAATTTCACAATAAAATTTTCAGTTTTTTTACCGTAACTTCAGATTTTCGAACATAAACTACTCTGGAGATTTTCCTAAACGATGCGCCAATGTCTCTTCTACAACACCTATATAGTCGTTGCCCATCACAATCTCTTAAAATTGGTTCAAAATTAACTTAAATTGGCCTAACCCCCAATCTCATTTAGTCAATTTCACTATTTCAGTTTTTTAACCGGAACTTCAGATTTTCGAACATAAACCACTCTGGAGATTTTCTTAAACGATGCGCCAATGTCTCCTCTTCAACACCTATATAGTCGTTGCCCGTCACAATCTCTTTAAAATGGTCCAAATTTTTTTTTTAGTGCCCTACCCCCCTAATCTCATTTTGTCAATTTCACAATAAAATTTTCAGTTTTTTAACCGGAACTTCAGATTTTCGAACATAAACCACTCTGGAGATTTTCTTAAACGATGCGCAAATGTCTCCTCTACAACACCTATGTAATCGTTGCCCGTCACAATCTCTTGAAATTGGTCCAAAATTAACTTAAATTGGCCTACCCCCCTAATCTCATTTTGTCAATTTCACAATAAAATTTTCAGTTTTTTAACCGTAACTTCAGATTTTCGAACATAAACCACTCTGGAGATTTTCCTAAACGATGCGCAAATGTCTCTTCTACAACACCTATATAGTCGTTGCCCGTCACAATCTCTTAAAATTGGTCCAAAATTAACTTAAATTGGCCTAACCCCCAATCTCATTTAGTCAATTTCACACTTTTTAGTTTTTTAACCGGAACTTCAGATTTTCGAACATAAACCACTCTGGAGATTTTCTTAAACGATGCGCTAATGTCTCCTCTACAACACGTATGTAATCGTTGCCCGTCACAATCTCTTGAAATTGGTCCAAAATTAACTTAAATTGGCCTACCCCCCTAATCTCATTTTGTCAATTTCACAATTTCAGTTTTTTAACCGTAGGTTCAGATTTTCGAACATAAACTACTCTGGAGATTTTCTTAAACGATGCGCCAATGTCTCCTCTTCAACACCTATATAGTCGTTGCCCGTCACAATCTCTTTAAAATGGTCCAAATTTTTCTTTTAGTGCCCTACCCCCCTAATCTAATTTTGTCAATTTCACAATAAAATTTTCAGTTTTTTAACCGTAACTTCAGATTTTCGAACATAAACCACTCTGGAGATTTTCTTAAACGATGCGCAAATGTCTCCTCTACAACACCTATGTAATCGTTGCCCGTCACAATCTCTTGAAATTGGTCCAAAATTAGTTTAAATTGGCCTTCCCCCCTAATCTCATTTTGTCAATATCACAATAAAAGTTTCAGTTTTTTAACCGTAACTTCAGATTTTCGAACATAAACCACTCTGGAGATTTTCTTAAACGATGCGCCATTGTTTCTTCTACAACACCTATATAGTCGTTGCCCGTCACAATCTCTTGAAATATGTCAAAAAATAACTTGAATTGCCCTACCCCCCTAATCTCATTTTGTCAATTTCACAATAAAAGTTTCAGTTTTTTAACCGTAACTTCAGATTTTCGAACATAAACCACTCTGGAGATTTTCTTAAACGATGCGCCATTGTTTCTTCTACAACACCTATATAGTCGTTGCCCGTCACAATCTCTTAAAATTGGTCCAAAATTAACTTAAATTGGCCTAAACCCCAATCTCATTTAGTCAATTTCACAATTTCAGTTTTTTAACCGGAACTTCAGATTTTCGAACATAAACCACTCTGGAGATTTTCTTAAACGATGCGCCAATGTCTCCTCTTCAACACCTATATAGTCGTTGCCCGTCACAATCTCTTTAAAATGGTCCAAATTTTTCTTTTAGTGCCCTACCCCCCTAATCTCATTTTGTCAATTTCACAATAAAATTTTCAGTTTTTTAACCGTAACTTCAGATTTTCGAACATAAACCACTCTGGAGATTTTCTTAAACGATGCGCAAATGTCTCCTCTACAACACCTATGTAATCGTTGCCCGTCACAATCTCTTGAAATTGGTCCAAAATTAACTTAAATTGGCCTACCCCCCTAATCTCATTTTGTCAATTTCACAATAAAAGTTTCAGTTTTTTAACCGTAACTTCAGATTTTCGAACATAAACCACTCTGGAGATTTTCTTAAACGATGCGCCAATGTTTCTTCTACAACACCTATATAGTCGTTGCCCGTCACAATCTCTTGAAATATGTCCAAAATTAACTTGAATTGCCCTACCCCCCTAATCTCATTTTGTCAATTTCACAATAAAATTTTCAGTTTTTTAACCGTAACTTCAGATTTTCGAACATAAACCACTCTGGAGATTTTCTTAAACGATGCGCCAATGTTTCTTCTACAACACCTATATAGTCGTTGCCCGTCACAATCTCTTGAAATAGGTCCAAAATTAACTTGAATTGCCCTACCCCCCTAATCTCATTTTGTCAATTTCACAATAAAATTTCAGTTTTTTAACCGTAACTTCAGATTTTCGAACATAAACCACTCTGGAGATTTTCCTAAACGATGCGCCAATGTCTCTTCTACAACACCTATATAGTCGTTGCCCGTCACAATCTCTTGAAATTGGTCCAAAATTAACTTAAATTGGCCTACCCCCCTAATCTCATTTTGTCAATTTCACAATAAAATTTTCAGTTTTTTAACCGTAACTTCAGATTTTCGAACATAAACCACTCTGGAGATTTTCCTAAACGATGCGCCAATGTCTCTTCTACAACACCTTTATAGTCGTTGCCCGTCACAATCTCTTAAAATTGGTCCAAAATTAACTTAAATTGGCCTAACCCCCAATCTCATTTAGTTAATTTCACAATTTCAGTTTTTTAACCGGAACTTCAGATTTTCGAACATAAACCACTCTGGAGATTTTCTTAAACGATGCGCTAATGTCTCCTCTACAACACGTATGTAATCGTTGCCCGTCACAATCTCTTGAAATTGGTCCAAAATTAACTTAAATTGGCCTACCCCCCTAATCTCATTTTGTCAATTTCACAATTTCAGTTTTTTAACCGTAACTTCAGATTTTCGAACATAAACTACTCTGGAGATTTTCTTAAACGATGCGCCAATGTCTCCTCTTCAACACCTATATAGTCGTTGCCCGTCACAATCTCTTTAAAATGGTCCAAATTTTTCTTTTAGTGCCCTACCCCCCTAATCTCATTTTGTCAATTTCACAATAAAATTTTCAGTTTTTTAACCGGAACTTCAGATTTTCGAACATAAACCACTCTGGAGATTTTCTTAAACGATGCGCAAATGTCTCCTCTACAACACCTATGTAATCGTTGCCCGTCACAATCTCTTGAAATTGGTCCAAAATTAACTTAAATTGGCCTACCCCCCTAATCTCATTTTGTGAATTTCACAATAAAAGTTTCAGTTTTTTAACCGTAACTTCAGATTTTCGAACATAAACCACTCTGGAGATTTTCTTAAACGATGCGCCATTGTCTCCTCTACAACACTCATATAGTTGTTGCCCGTCACAATCTCTTCAAATTAGTCCAAATTTAACTTGAATTGCCCTACCCCCCTAATCTCATTTTGTCAATTTCACAATAAAAGTTTCAGTTTTTTAACCGTAACTTCAGATTTTCAAACATAAACCACTCTGGAGATTTTCTTAAACGATGCGCCATTGTCTCCTCTACAACACCTTTATAGTCGTTGCCCGTCAAAATCTCTTGAAATAGGTCCAAAATTTACTTAAATTGGCCTACCCCCCCAATCTCATTTTGTCAATTTCACAATTTCAGTTTTTTAACCGTTACTTGAGATTTTCGAACATAAACCACTCTGGAGATTTTCTTAAACGATGCGCCATTGTCTCCTCTACAACACTCATATAGTCGTTGATCGTCACAATCTCTTCAAATGAGTCCAAAATTAACTTGAATTGGCCTACCCCCTTATCTCATTTTGTCAATTTTACAATAAAAGTTTCAGTTTTTTAACCGTAACTTCAGATTTTCGAACATAAACCACTCTGGAGTTTTTCCTAAACGATGCGCCAATGTCTCTTCTACAACACCTGTATAGTCGTTGCCCGTCACAATCTCTTGAAATTGGTCCAAAATTAACTTAAATTGGCCTAACCCCCAATCTCATTTAGTCAATTTCACAAATTCAGTTTTTTAACCGGAACTTCAGATTTTCGAACATAAACCACTCTGGAGATTTTATTAAACGATGCGCCATTGTCTCCTCTACAACACCTATATAGTCGTTGCCCGTCAAAATCTCTTGAAATTTGTCCAAAATTAACTTTTTTTTAAAAGATTTTCTTAAACGATGCTCCAATGTCTCCTCTACAACACCTATAGAATCGTTGCCCGTCACAATCTCATGAAATTGGTTCAAAATTAACTTAAATTGGCCTTCCCCCCTAATCTCATTTTGTCAATTTCACAATTTCAGTTTTTTAACCGTAAATTCATATTTTCGAACATAAACTACTCTGGTGTTTTTTCTAAACGTTGCGCCAATGTCTCCGCTGCATCACCTATAGGCAGTCGTTGCCCGTCACAGTCTCTATGAATGGGTCGACAATCAACTTAAGGTATCCCCCTTTTTGTTTTTAATTACAATTTTTTCAACCTTACTTCAGATTTTTAACATAAACCATCCTGGAGTTCGTCTGAATAGATACGCTTATGTCTCAGCTGCATCACCTATGCAGTCGTGTACCGTCACAATCTCTATAAATGGGTCAAAAATCAACTTAATGTATGCCCCCTCCTCCCTTTTCGTTTTTACAATTTCAGTTTAAACTTAACTTCAGATTTTTAAACATAAACCATTTTGGAGTTTGTCTTATTAGATACGATAATGTCTCCTCTATGTTACCTTTACAGTCGTTGCCTGTCACAATCTCTATAAATTGCTCAAAATCTTTATGGTATCCCTTTTGTTTTAATTTTTTTTATTCGTTTTTGTTTAATATTTTGAATATTCTTATAATTGTCCGCTAGGTCTCTGTAATTGTTCGCTAGCTCGAAAAAAACGTGATTGTCTTATGTGAAATTGTGGTTTTTGGTTATACCTCCTAATTGTTCGCTGGCTAATTGTTCGCTACAATTGTTCGCTAGCTTGAGTCAAGTCTGTAATGGAGTGCTCTGTTTTGACATTGATGTAATTATACAATAAGTATAAAAACAAAGAAAATTGGTTGGACATTTTTTCTTTATGCTTTCCTAACTCAATTTTGCTAAATAAATCCGGCTTGAAGCCCCGACCATTTGATTTTCAGGAATAATCTTAAACTGTGCAAGAATTTGTCAATGTTTGTCTGTTATATGATCGAAAAGAACATCTTGTCTATCATTTTTTTTAAAGTAACTAAACTGGATTATTTTTGTATATACGGCAAAGATATCACCGAGTTCTCAAAACTTTTTTCCCTGGTGATCCTTGAGGAAAATCAGCTGGTCAATTCTAACAATTATTTCTATTGCAAAATTTTTATTGTCAAAACCTTCGGACCACCACAAGGTATACTTAGTCTGGGAGAACAAGATTTATGTCAGCGTTACTTGTAATTAGCTTTGAACAAACTTTCAATGACTGCAAATACTCTTATTTCGGTGCTTTCTGTCTATTGTCTTAATGTTAGTTGTTGTTTGTGTCTCGTACCGATCTGTTGAGTTAATTTAATTGCAACTGATTTTTACAGTTTGTTCTTATGTGGTACTGTTACACCACTGTCCCAGTTTAGAGAAGAGT